ATTTTATAATCTATGCTTAATAAAAAAAATGATCCTGATTTCAGTGTTCACGAAACATGGAAATACGATATTGTGAATTGCCATGGTTTACTATGAACATGTAACCCGGATTTTTGTCTTTCGGTTTTATTAAGTAGTTTGTTACCCGGGTTATGTTCTCTCAATCGATTTATGACACGATATTGAGAATTGCCATGGTTTACTATGGACATGTAACCCGGATTTTTGTCTCTCGGTTTTACTAAGTAGTTTGTTACCCGGATTATGTTCTCTCAATCGATTTATGACATTAGAACAGCGGTATACTACTGTTGCCTTAAATTGTTAACTATGGAATTGTATTATTGGTTGATGTTGGTTCAATTACTTAATCGTCGTCCAATTTACTTTGTGACCGATTTTACTATTTCTTAGAAATCGGATAAGAGATGACATGACTACTATGGATGTCATACGATTTTTGTTTTTGTTTGGTAGGGAACGTTATGTTTATGGTCGATTATTGAATCATAATCTGACGACATTTTGATGTATGGATAGTAGAGTGTGCATACATCACTTGCATATTCAAAACATGCTCTTATTAACGTGATAAGAATCAGATGAACCTTAGTTGTTCAAACAGACAGCCTAGAGGAGGTTTGACGCAAAAAACTAGTTTAAACCAACTGCGTTTATATGCACCTGTTCTAAGTCAGGAGCCTGTTGTTCAATGGTTGTCGTGTGTTGGTGTAATTCATAATTGTTTCTCATTTCTCCTTTTTTATATAGATTAGAACGTTGGTTTTCCTGCTTGAATTGTTTTACACTAGTCATTTTGGAGCCGTGTTGAACGCCGACAAATTAATGTTAAATTTTATACATTCTGACTTGGAAGCAGAGTTGTCTCCTTGGTGCTCATACCACATCTACTGATTTATGTATGATAAGAGGAGGAGTGTCAAAATCATTTTTCAAGGGATCATTTTGACGAGATCTTGGATCTAACACAAACCATTTCTAAATAGGGTGATCATTGCAATCACAATAGGTTGTTAGCGATATACGCACATGGATAAAATTTAGCTGATTCTTATCATTTCTATTTATCTTGTTAGTTTATTAATTACAAAACAATTTATACAAAAGAAATTGGTTGTAAATAATTACTTTGTTTTGATTAAATACAATGAAACATTCTAATTATACATTCATGTCATATGTCACTGTCAGATGTATGATGCTACATAATTTACTGGGAAATAAGATATTTCAGGCTGCTTATAACTCAAATATAATATAAATTTTAAAGCTATTGCATTTTTTTTCATTTTATAAAACATATCAGAAGGCCTAGTGTATTAAAATTGTTCGACGTCTAGCAAAAGATTTACCCCCGAGGATCCATATGATAAAATTATATGTACTGAGACAATTAAATTACAAAAAAAATTGGTGGGAGTGAAATTGTTGTCTGTCATCTATATAGATCATACTGGAGGGTCCTAATTTCAACTTGAATTACAATTCTGATGTCCGTTTTTGTTAACATGGTATACGAGCTCATATATTTTAAACTACTCAAATTACCTGATTAGCCGAAAATTTTATCTATCGCACAATATGAATGGTTAAACAGTAACTCAAGTTAAATATAAACTATATGTCCAATTTATACAAATGGTAAACAATAAGAAATGAATGCATGCTCTTCTAAATTCATGAATATGACAGCTGTTTTCCATTCGTTTGATGAGTATGAGCTTTGTATTGTGCTATTTGAAAAAGTACTGTACATTTGAAATTTTCCTTGGAGTTCGGTACTTTTTTTTTATTATTTATTGTACTGTAAATATGTTAAATAGATATGACACCATACTTGTGGTTGTCTTGTGTTTAATCCAATATGTGTTTGTGCAAATAAAATATGTTGAAACATAAACACAAACTTTCATACCTTGATATAAGAAGATGTGGTATGAGTGCCAATGACACAACTCTCTATTCAAGTCACACAATTTGTAAATTATGTTAACCATTATAGGTCAAAGTACGGTTTTCAACACGGAGCATTGGCTCACACCGAACAGCAAGCTATATGGGGCCCCCAAAATGACAAGTGTAAAACTATTTTAACGATTAAAAACAACGGTCCAATCTATATATAAAAAACGAGAAACACTTATGAACCACATCAACAAACGACAACTACTATTCCTGTATAGTATAGATTTTCCAGGTTCAACCCACCATTTGTTCTTAAGGGCATACGATACAGTTTAGATCCCGTATTGTTATTTGGATGAAAATTTGCATATAGGCTATTTTTTACCTGATTAAATCAAATATGTAATGCTACTTTTTGAGTAAATTGTGGTTGAAATTTCAGATATTTCCTCAAAATTAGGATTTGTGACCGTATTTTTCCTTTCGACAGAAATACATAACTTTTTTGTTTTAAAAGATAAACACAAGCTGTTTTTTGTTAAAATTTTTGTAACTTCTGTGTTATATAATTCTATACGTTTGTACATTTTATTTCTACAAATAACTCATATTTATCAAATGTTCATGAATGTAGAAAAAAACGTCATTTTTTGATGAATATTTATCAAATTTAAAAAAAATTGGTACACATAATCTCCATACGTAATCAAACCACATGTCATTTTAAAAACAAGGTCTCATTTTCAAGTTAGATCAGTTTGAATGATAAAAATCAGTCGAAAACTGCATCTTTTCCCGATAAGTCACTGTTTGATGTCGCGAAAATAACAATTTACGTAAGCAACGTCATCACCTTCCCTGTAATTGTATCGTATGCCCTTAAAATGTCCTGTACCAAGTCAGGAAAATGGCAGATGTTATCTTATAGTTCGTTTCTGTTTATGTTGCTTTGTCGTTTTGGTTTTTTTTGCACTTCAGTGTTTCTGTTGTTTCGTTGTTTTCCTCTTATAGTTGATGTGTTTACCTCAGTTTTAGTTTGTAACCCGTATTTGTTTTCTTTCAATCGATTTATGACTTTCGAACAGCGGTATATTACTGTTGCCTTTATTTTTCCGATAAAGCCGGACTGATGTTCCTATCAAACGTTTTTTGCGTACACGGAGAGCTTCTAAAATAATAGTATATATTGATAAAGTTGAAATCATTCCTTTATTATGAAAGTAGGCCATGTTATATTTTATCGCGATTTAAAGTTATTTCACAGTTGACCAAGTACATATATATGTTCTATGCACTAGTGAGAGTCTCAATCTCGTCGACGTTGGATGTAATTCTAGATATGATTTTCTTCTGCAGTGTGTTTTACCCATGATGAGTACTAGAATAAAGATTTTATTTCAACAAAGCTACATGTATATGTTGTTGGTCTTTGTAAAACAATTTGAAGATGCGAATTTTATCAAAACACTCCTCACGAAATTTGGTTGAACTGCTGCCTTAACTAGGTTTCAGATTTAGATGAGAAAATCTCCAAACTATAATACCATGCATTTGTAGAGTACTTTACGTATTAAATTATAATCCTGGTACCTTTGATAACTATTTACACAAGACCTTTATACACCAACTTTATTTCCGGTTAACCATTTAATATAGGTCGATCGATGATCCGAGTAACCTGGTAGGCAACATACCTTTCAATTGACAGCACTAGAATAAATATTTTACCCTGAATTCAAATCTGTCAGAAAAGACTATACAAATCAAAGTGGCTTCTCGTGTCTTAGTTCCATCAAATAATTTGTTTAGTATCATGGATAGGGAAGATGATCATCATTATTTTTTTTTATTTTTTTTGGGGGGTGGGGGGGGGGGGGGGGGGGGGGGTCGGATGATATATAAAACAGTAAAAAATGGACATTTAAATTTAGTAAACAACAGTAAATTCTGTACAACATACACATATCTAAATATCATTGAAAAACTAGAGGATCATGTTATCTTTATCTGGCTTGTATCGCACATTTATTCTAATAAAGCTAATTGCTGGTTTTAAGGAAACATAGTCATAGTTAAAGCTTTTTCTATTGAAGTGTACTTTTGGCAAAAATCAAAACAAAATAATTGGATGGAGAGTTGTCTCATTGACACTCATTCCACATCTTCTTATGTAACAGGTACATAATTTCATGAGGATGCATCCTGGCATCTCCCCTTTTTCATGGCAATATTTTTTCAAATTTTGATTGCAAGCCATTTTTTCGTATACATATTGTTTATCTATCCATTTCTTTTCCATCTTTACTGATATTTTTACTTATTTGTGCCGTTTTAAAATCAAGTTATTTTTTCGAACAAAATCTTTTACTCATACTATTGGTTTTTTTTTGTCGTTTATCAAAGTTATATAAATTTAAACTGATAAAAAAAAATTACCTAGAACAATATTCCAGGCTTTCTATTGTACTACCGGGAAAAAGTTTTATTACTTAGATAAAAAAAAAAGCTAATTCATTTTTTGATAATTAAAAAAAATGTGCGACCTTGTTAATGTAGACTTTAACGGTACTTTTTTGCAGACTTTAGCGGAGGTTATTTTGTGAACTTTAATGGAAAGTTTGCGGAATTTACCAGCCTTATGGACTTTAGCGGAAACTTGTTGTGGACTTAAGCGGTTTTGTGGACTTTAGGTGAATTGTAGACTTTAACGGTGTCAATAAGTTCCAATGGTTTTTAGTCGATTTATCATTTTTCTTTTTCTTTTCTTACCTGTGCTTTATTTTGTTTCCGGAAAGGATGTCTCTTTTTTTGTTTTGTTTTACTGTTAATCTATCGTATCATTCTTTTCTTTTGTGGTAGTCATTGTTTATCTATGAATGATCATATAAATCATAAGTTTTTTTATTAAATGCATCTGTCAGTTACTGTGTATGTTGCATAATTCTACAATGTAGATGACTTATATCTTTGCTGGATCATTTATTTTAATTTTTAATATTGAATTGATATATATATATATATATTATATATATATATTTATTCTACACGGTTAGTTACATATCTAAAATGTTTTTACTTCAGCTTGTGTTGACAACGTTACTAGTTGTTCATGGTAAGCATTTAATAATTTTTTTTTAATATCAATATTTAATTTTAAAAATAAAAGTCATGACACTGCTAATCAACAATAATTATTTTCATTTTAAAATGTTTTTGCTACTTTTTTCCTAGTGTTACATTCAAATAATGTATACATGCATATCATTTAACCACTAATTTTAGCTTACACAGTATTAATGTGCACTTCTTAAGTCTACGTTTAAGTGTGTGTGTGTGTGTGGGGGGAGGGGGGGGGGGTTATGTTTTTTGTCTACGTCAGAATTATTATTTAGTTTTTCGACGATTTTAATCAAAAAAATTATTTCAATATTTAACTCTTTAAGGTATAGGAAAAATCTGGATTCAGATTTTTTTTAACATTACATGTAATCATGATTTACATTTTTATATTGTCTCGGTTAACAATATTATCCACCCATACATGGATATTCCGCCAATCTCGGCAGATATTTACCAATTTGTAATACGAAGGTTTTTCTACCTCAGGAATAGATTACCTTAGCTGTATTTGGCAAAACTTTTAAGAATTTTTGGTCCTCAATGCTCTTCAACTTTGTACTTTATTGAGCCTTTTTAACATTTTTTTTTCGACCGTCACTGATGAGTCTTTTGTAGACGAAACGCGCGTCTAGTGTAAATATACAATTTCAATCCTGGTATCTATGATGAGTTTAGTTAGTAAGTTTCAATATGTTAAATTTCGCACATCTCGGCAGATATCTACCAATTAGTAATTTTCAATACGTTGAAATTTCGCACATCTCGGTAGATATCCATCCAATAGTATATTTCTATTCATTGCTGGATTTTAAATGCAACACAGCCGATGCTGTTAACAAAGCAGTAACACATTAACCATGGTATTGTTATGCCTAAGTCTAACGTTTATCTTGAAATAGACAAAAGAATTTGATCAAGTTATCGTTTATTTTTAACCCAAAAATCACGGCTCTTTTCATCATCGGCCCTGTTTCTTGTCTTTCAACCGCTTTAAAACAAATATCAACGCTGTCGAACTGGTTCAATTTTAGTTTTAAACAAAAATAGTTTTAATGTTTGAAATTATGACTGAAGAGTTTAAGTAGATTTACTTTTCATTGTACAGGAAATGCCGTGTGTAGTTTTCCATGTGAACAGCAGGAAAAAGCACAGTACATCTTTATCACTGGTGGTTCTGCTGAGTTGACATCGCTTGAATACTTCCGCAATCAATCTCACTTAGTACAGCTTTCGCCTTCGGGAGAATTTGCTGAATGTCATTTCAGAACCGGACCATTTCTTGTCGCCCGGTATGTAAACAAAAATATATTTAGGTAGTACCAAACACTTTGGCTAAAATTCATTTGGCTCGTTTAATTTTCATAAAATTTGACATAATATATACTTTCATTGGATATATAGCAGTTTGACAAACGCCAATTTGATCGTTGAAAAGCTTTATATTGTTTCCTTAACAATAAAACGTGATTATAACGTTCAGATTATTTTTTAAGAGTTATCTCCCTGTAATGTTAAGCCTCTTAATAAAACCACCTTAAACAATACATTGGATGTCAAGAATCACTTCTAGTAGTTGGCAGATGTTAAACCAAACGTATTAAACTTCATCAAAACTAGCGTAATTGAAATAGATGGACGGTTCCATATGAAAACAACAGACTATTGATAATAACCAAAGGACGATAAATTAAGCAAATACATCAGACAATGTTAATAAATTAATATTAAAGTTAAAACAAAAAGTATCATGATAAAAAAAAAACATGGATGATATCTCTACTGTTTTAAATTCCTAATCAGGTGAAGTTTTGACTAGAATGGCCACAATCATCACCAATCATTTTTGCATAACGTAACTAATGTAAATCAGATGGAAATGACGATGATCTTCTTTTATCCTCGTAGCGATTACTGAGACACATGTCTCTTAGTAAATCTTGAAAAAAATTTCTCTATTATTTCCAAATAAATAAGTTACTTAAATTTGCATCACTGGTTGGTGTTTTGAAGACGAATTGTGGTATACATGATGAGTTGATTTGTACCACTCAAAGGTTAAATTTTGTATCATAAAGTTTCATTACAGTTATAGGGAGGAATGGCTAGTCACAAAACCAGGTTCAACCTATCATTTTTTCTTAAAATGTCCTGTACCAAGTCAGGAACATGGCTCTTGTTTTCTTATAGTTCGTTTCTGTGTGTGTTGCAATTTAAGTGTTTCTGTTATGTCGTTGTTCTCCTCTCATATTTGATGTGTTTTCCTCAGTTTTAGTTTGTAAGCCGGAATTGTTTTTTCTCAATCGATTTATGAATTTGGAACAGCGGTATACTATTGTTGTTTCTACATAGGACCATTTAAAAGAAGGGACAGACTTTTCACACCAAGAAGGGAGCAAACATTTAACTTCAGAGAGGGTTATTTATAGTTTTTTTTTGTCTGAGTTAGAATTATTTTGATAGTTTTTACCCACTTTTAATCAAATTATTTTTTTCAATATTTAACACTATAAGATAAAGGGAATGTTTTTATTTTTTATTTGCTTGACCACAATATTTTTTGCATCAAATTTGGGATCAGAATATTTTGTTAAAGGAAAAATATAACCCCACCCCCTGGAAGTTGAATGATCGTTTCCTAAGCAGTAGTGGTAAATTTATTCATTTGTCGTCTTGTTTATGTTTTTTAAGTTCAAGTTTTGATTATAAATCGTTGCTCATCACATTCATTCGGTTAGGAATGAAACTTTCAATTAATAAATTCAAACAGCAATGAAAGATTGTACTTGCAAAATAATCCAAAATATCCAAATAAAAAGCGTTTGCAAGTGTAAGTGACAATGGTTTTTGCGTCTCCTATTAATTTTTTATGAATCTCAATTTTCATGTAGAATTAAATAGAACCATATCAACTTTTCAATTAATACACGATGGTCTTGACGTATAGATTCTAGGTACTGACGTTCTTTATCATCTTCAATTACGTGTCATCGCGTTCCTTTATTTGTCTTTGTAAATTATTACTTTTGCTGTTTAGTCTTATCCATTTGACGAAACTCGGTACTTATACATCCCGTCATTCGGGTATTGTGCTATGGTAAGTTTTAGTATTCTTGTCTTTCATTTTTGCTCATGTGCTTTGTCTATATGTCGTGTTTGTTTTCCTTGTCCATATATTTGATTGGTTTTTTTTAGAGATAAAGATTGTAACAAAGTTGGCTGCTGTATCCCTATTTTTGACATTTAAACCTTTTATGTCTGTTCGTTTTGTTCACACATAGTTGTCAATATAATAAAATTTAATGCTACTGTCATACAAGAGGTAACGTTAGCGATATAACCAGGTTTAATCCACCATTTTTTACATAAGAAAATGTCTGTACCAAGTCGGGAATATGACAGTTGGTATCCATTCGTTTGATGAGTTTGGGCACTTTGGTTTTGCCATTTTATATGGGACTTTCCGTTTTGAATTTTCCTTGGCGTTCGGTAATTGTGTTATGTTACTTTTTCCTGGAGACAAACAAACCAAGTCAAGGCCGTCAAAATGGCATCCATCCCGCTCTTATTGCAATACTTTTTTTCAGACGACGTGGCAATGAATATATCTGTGTCAAACGACTGGCTTTGGACCCAACTGGTGGAATAATAGTATGGTATGGATTACCCTGGAGTAAGTTATGACTTGTTTGTTGCTTTCAACAAAATTTACAGTATGCCTTTGTAATACGATACATTACGTTATCAAATGGAAAGGCCGAACACCAATGGAAATGAATGAAAGTATATGTGGGGTATACTTAAATAAGATCAAAACACCAAAAACAGGACTAGAATATAAAAAAAAATAGGATGTGATGTGATTGCCAATGAGACGACTTTCCACAAGAGAACAAATGACACAGAAATTAAAAGCTATAGGTTATCGTAGTCCTTCAACAATAAGTAAAACCCATCCATAGTAGTCAACTAGTGGTCTACAGACTGGTGTATATACAATACATTAAAGATATAAATCGTTCAGAGTTTTAAAGAGTTTATACTGAATTTAAATAGTTATATAATAGAAAAACAAAGGATATGCTCGTAGACAATGAAAAATAAAGCAAAGATAAATCTGAAGTTATTACATTATTCAATATTATCCAATGAAAGAATAAACTGTGTAGTCACATTTATCTTAAGAACGTCACGATTTTTTTTGGTTCCATGCCATTAGATCAACTATTTTTATGGAACTTTTAATAAAAAAATTTCAATAAACGTTACTGATAAGTTGGAGTTCACAAACTATACATTGAAGGTCCATTCGCATTTTGCCACTTCCTAAAACCTACTTATCTGAAAGAAAAATTATATGTATACAAATGTAAAAATAATATCATGGACATTAGTAGTATCTTACTTATTCAAATGGTATATTTAATGCCAGTTCGTTTGTAACCATGGACTTTATCTTCTTGCAGGGACTTTCAGATCGAGTCCATCACTGTGTGAACTTTGCTATGGACCAAGCCAATGGAGCTCTTCTCTTCTATTAGGTAATCAATATCATTGTGTTGGCATATAATACATAAAATATTGACATTTAAATATTGTTGCCAACTACAATAATTTGTCTGTTGCAATAATAAATTAATGTTTACCTGAACGAGTGAAATACTCGGGAATTCGAGAAATCAGATAGTAAAACCAGTCCTTGAGATATAAATAAGGCCAAAAATCTTACGTCCTTACATGTGTTTAGCTGGCGGTTTTTTTATAAACTGTTTGATGAGGTTTATATTAATTGCTACTGTGGTGTCAATGCTGTATAAGTCAGAGAGATGGTTCACACAAGAGTGACATTCCATAACAACCAATTTATATGTGACTAACACTGTTATAAAAATCAGTTCATCATTTATCATATATGGAATTGTAATTGATGTGTCATAACCTGTATATTATTTATTTATTACATCTTTAAATATATTCTTTAATCGTCAAATTAAAAATTATATTAATTTTGTTTTGACGTATTAGGGCTAATATTCGCAAACGAATGTACTTTGCAAGTTTAGCGCTATACAGATATAAAAAGAAGATGCGGTATGATTGCCAATGAGACAACTCTCCACGAGAGACAAAATGACACAGAAATTAACAAATATAGGACACCGCAAGGCCTTCAACAACGAGAAAAGCCCATACCGCCTAGTCAGCTATAACGGCCTAATGTATGTACAAAAAATTAACGAAAACAAAATATGTAAGTAAACTCTTCATAGATACCAGGACTAAATTTTGTATTTACGCCAGACGCGAGTTTCGTCTGCAAAAGACTCATCAGTGACGCTCGAATCCAAAAAAATTAAAACGGCAAAATAAAGTACGAAGTTGAAGAGCATTGAGGACCAAAATTCCTAAATGTTTTGCCAAATATAGCTAAGGTAATATATTCCTAAGGTTGAAAACACACCAACAAACGACAACCACTGAATTACAGGATCCTGACTTGGGACAGGCACATACGTACAGAATGTGGCGGGGTTAAATATGTTAGCGGGATCCAACCCCCAACCCCCTAATATGGGACAGTGGTGTAACCGTACAACATAAGAACGAACTAAAAAATCAGTTGAAAAAGGCTTCACTCATCAGATAGATACAAACAGATATACATCTAACAAAAACACAGAGTGGACGTGGCCGGTTACTTGTATATCCCAACAACAAACAAAAAGGCACGAAGTACTGATCTGTGAGTACTCGCTGTTACTGACAGCTAGTTCAAAACCACTAATAAAAAAAACCATGCAGTCGGTTTAACTTTTCAAGATGGAGGAAAGACACCAAGGAGGCAAACAAAAGTCGACAAGGCAAACAATTTTTCACAAAACATTATTCAAAAGCAAACATATAACAGCTCGATCGCAAATAGTAATCGGATGAAAACTCTGATGCTTCTTCGTAGGGATAAGGACATCTAGCTCCACTGGTTGCACCCCTCGTATTAATCGTGTCAAATAAAATTTCGGCGATATGAGTTGCATGCAAAAATTAAAGAGATAATGAGATTTCTAATGAGTGAGTTTGTTTTTCAGCAAGAGATTTGCAACGTGAGTATCATAGTTTATGCAAAGTAATATACTAGTAACAATGGTTTCCTATCTTTAATAATGCTTAACATAAGTAAAGAGGAAATACATATTAGACTGAAATACCGGTATGTAAACACAAACCGCAAAAAAGAGGTGATCCAATATACTCCGGCAGAGTAAGTTAAACTTTCTCCATAAAATGCACAATTCGAAAATTTTTGTTTTATCATGCCAAATATTTTTGAAAATCCAATACCTAGTACAAGCTTTAGAGCTGATAAAACAAGGAACCAAAAGAATAAGAAAATCTTGACAATGAACTGTGCATTTTTGAAAAATATATATTTCCTAATTTATAAAGGTTTCTAAAATTTGATAATGGCAAGTTTTAATCTAACAATATCCGTATTAGCATGACAGTACCACACTGATAAACAATATAAGGGACCTGCATCCAATCTTCAGAGGTGTAGACCAAGTTGTAGAAATGCCATAACGGTATAAATTTGAGTGCACCGAACACTAAATAGTTTCAAATTGGAAGTGTATTTTAATCAACAACAAAAACAACATTACTTTTCAGCTCAAAAGCAAAAAAAAATTTAAAAGGTATATGCATTCACTTAAACTTTTCTTAATTTTGTCTATAAAAAGAGGGAGAAGATACCAATGCGTCAATATAAAAAAACCATACCCACAAAACACAAAAACGTTCAGGAAATGTTCCTGAAATGTTTCTGTTTCGTTGTGAGAACGTTGTGATTTAACGTTGTGGGAACAATAAAGTGTGAACTACCAGTTACGTTATAAGAACGTTATGATATAACGTTATGAAAAACCAACCTGGAACCTAAATAGAACCATGTGTAACCAATCTGGAACCTTGATAGCACCTAGTGTAACCAATCTGGAACCTTAATAGAACCTTGTGTAACCAATCAGGAACCTTTATAGAACCTTGTGTAACTAATCTGGAACCTAAATATAACCGTGTGTTACCAATCTGGAACCCAAATTTAACCTAGTCCCAGACAACATTTGTATGTTGGCACAACAATGGCCCAACGTATCTACATTCATTGGCCCAACGTTGTTTTTCTCTCATCTTCCTGAACATGAATGAAAATTTTGTCACTGGACGTTTAAGCAACCAACAATCAATCAATCTTTCTCTCCAGGAATTGTACCCATATTTGAATGAATTAAATCAACACATTTATGTTACCTATTTTTCTTAAATAATGATTACAAAGATATGAATACTAATATATATAATTTGTTTTAGCTAGACAAGAAGCAAATTGTTAAAAGTTTAATTTTATGTATCTACACCTTGCAACATCAGATCTAGAATTAAAATTATAAAGTCTTTTTATGATAATTCATTTCTGTAAATGCAATTCGCTTCATCATGTTCATACAGTTATTTCCTAGTTCTGTAATTTCACTTCATCATGTTCATACAGTTATTTCCTACTTCTGTAATTCACTTCATCATGTTCATACAGTTATTCCTACTTCTGTAATTTCACTTCATCATGTTCAAACAGTTATTTTCTACTTCTGTAATTCACTTCATCATGTTCATACAGTTATTTCCTACTTTTGTAATTTCACTTCATCATGTTCAAACAGTTATTTTTCTTCTTCTGTAATTCACTTCATCATGTTCATACAGTTATTTCTTAGGTTTGTAATTTCACGTCATCATGTTCATACAGTTATTTTCTATTTCTGTAATTTCACTTCATCATGTTCAAACAGTTATTTCCTACTTCTGTAATTCACTTCATCATGTTCATACAGTTATTTCCTACTTCTGTAATTTCACTTCATCATGTTCAAACAGTTATTTTTCTACTTCTGTAATTCACTTCATCATGTTCATACAGTTATTTCTTAGGTTTGTAATTTCACTTCATCATATTCATACAGTTATTTTTTACTTCCGTATTTTCACTTCATCATGTTCAAACAGTTATTTTCCCCATGGTTTTTATTCACAAGAGTGTTCCTTTTTGTTTTCTGCTTCACTTTCTTTTACCAGGTTCAATCCACCATTTTCTACATTTGAAAATGCCTGTACCAAGTCAGGAATATGACAGTTGTTGTCCATTCGTTTGATGTGTTTTGTCATTTGATTTTGCCATGTGATTAGGGACTTTGGCACTATTTCTGAATCCGTCTTATGTTTATTTCTTATCCAGTATAGCAAATCTTCATAAAAATTATTTCATTGCCCCTGTAATAAAGTAATGAATAAATAAGTACTCAATGTATACTTCTTACGAATATAATAAATTCTAAAAACAATAAGCAAAATGACAAAACAAAATACATTGTTTCCGGTGTCCTGGCACAACAAAGATCTGATAAATAGGTAGAGAAAATACTCTTGTTTAATATTTTACCTATACTATACAAGACACAGCAATATGGATAAGGCATGCATTACCAAAATTGTTAGACTTCACCGTGCTAGCTAAGTTAAAATTAAGCCGGAAAATTGAGGGTAGATATGAATACAGGAAACAGAACCATGTAAAAAAAAACGTTCTAACTCAATGAATATTGTAGTGAAAAAATACGTAGTCAAATCTAAATACACACAGCATTAACGGTATTATAATATTTAACATTTTATGCATATATATTTTGCGAATTTCGAATCCGATGTGGCATAAAGGATGGCTATTATGTTACTAACTTAAAGTAATTTATTCTGCATTTTGTCCAATTGTTTTATATTTGTATGAAGTAGAAACAATTAAACAACATTTCTGAAACAGTATGTAACAAGGTACATTCTAAAACAGAATTTTCCATTGATATTGGTTATAAATGCAATCTTCATATTTAACAAAGATTTCCGAAATAAAATATTAAAATGTTGGTAAGTATACTGTTTAATGATACTTCTGTTTACTGGCAGATGTTCATGTTTATTTTGGATTAAAATTGATTTAAACAAAAATCTTTCTCACCCGAAACGTAAGATCAACGTTATAAAATGATATAAACTATATGTTTTATTTGTGGTTAAAAAACATATTGTATTTATCATTCATAATCATATACATATATCAGAATTTTTAAAGTAACAACTTACATGTCAAGTTCTTTCTCTTTAGATGGTGCGATTTCCTCTTTTGTTTTCTTTGTTATCACTGCTTTCTTACAAATACACGACAGGAAATAGTCTCAAAAGTGACCATCCCATTACATTTAGATTTCCTATAACCTTAATTACCATAGCAACTATCTTTAAATTTGTCTAACATCTGGTCAACCTTATCAGAATATGCTTGATTAACAGAATGGCTGTATCAAATATCATTCTGTATATAATTGCTAATTATGTTTCACAAATTAAACATTGTTAAAGTTGAATGAAAAAATTTATAATAAATAATGAGAATAATGAATTTATACTTTTAATCAGGCAATCTATATGTTAAAGGAATAAAAGTTATTTTTTTTATTACAGTATCGTTTTTTTAGGAGTTTCAAAAACTATCAGCATTGACTCTCTTAAACAAAACAGAGGTTTGATTAATATGCATGATGGCAAACATCTTACTTGAATTTGTATGCCCCATTTATGGGCATTATGTTTTCTGGTATGCGCCTCCGTTTGTCCGTTCGTCCATCCGTGCGTCCGTTCGTCTGTCCCGCTTCAGGTTAAAGTTTTTGGTCGAGGTAGTTTTTAAAGAAGTTGAAGTCCAATCAACTTGAAACTTAGTACACATGTTCCTTATGATATGATTTTGCTAATTTTAAAACCAAATTAGAGATTTTCGCCCATTTTCACGGTCCATTGAACATAGAAAATGATAGTGCGGATGGGGCATCCGTGTACTAGGGACACATTCTTGTTTGCTATTAATTTAATAGTTGGTTTTTTTTTGGAAAGATTAAATTTTCTAAAAAATGAGGAACATTGTTCGAACGTTTTAAGAGTGTTAGGTAAGTAACGTTAAAAAGAAACTAGTATTAAACGTTTCTACAACGTATTATTTTTAACATAACCAAACTGAAACTTTCACACAACGTTAAAACAAAACGTTCCTAGAACGTTGAATTGTAACGTTTCATTTCAACGTACTCACAACGTTCGTTTAACGTTAAGGTCCGACATAACCTTACAGGAACCAATCCACAACGTTCATTGAACGTTATGTGTTTAGTGGGTAGGTCCATTAGAATAAGACAACACCAACAAAAAAAGTCGAAATGACAAATATCAAACCTTATACAGAAAAATAAAAATTTAGCAAAACGAACCCAATTTAAAACCAGAGGTAATTAATGTGTGAAAGGCTAAGCTGTTACTTGTCGTCTAGTGGCTCTTGTGGTTAAAATGCGTTTTAAGTCGTATGTAACTTAAGGCTCAGAAGATTCAAAATGACTGATTGGAGGGAAGAACTAACCATGAAAAACAACCTTGCTACTATTAAATGGGTTATTTTTTTAATTTTAATTTATGTAATGCTTTCAAAAAATTGACATAATTACTGATAAAATATATTTTTATTCTAGGTAGGGAAAACCAGATAAGAAGATCATGTAAGTGCAATATAAAGTATCAAACTAAAACTGTTAAAATAAAAAAAAGGTGCCATGAGTATGTAAATGCAAAACAAACTAAAAGATCAGAAAAAGATATTGTCTAGAAAATTGATAGTCATTATCTTTATGCATGGGACATTGGTAAATACACTTTATAGTAATAACATAGCAACTTGTTTTGGTGAATTTTTTTTTTTATAATGTTTTCTCGTGTGTTGTATTGAAGAATTACTTAAAAGAATGATCCGTTTTTATTATAATGTTTTGCCAATGTTAAATTAAAATTTCCTTTGTGGTTCATACGGCTTGTAAATAATTTTAATCAAGTTATAAAAGTATTCTTTCAAAGCAATCAGTGCGAAAGGAGGCAAAATGTTTGCCTCATTACTTTTTCAGTTCCTTTTTTCAAGTTGACTGTTTCAAATTGATGCATAAACATGTATCTTGGTATTACATTTGTAATTCAGAGGCATTTCAAAGATTGATATACAATAGAAGTTTGCTTATTACAGAAGGCATACCTTTAGTTGCTAACTTATACGTAATTTATTTTCTGATGGATACTATGGCAATCAATACACATCGTCTTATCTTTAAATTTTTCAACTTTCTTTCAAATGCAAGGAATTTTTCAGGTATATGATTTCCATTTTTGGTAAAAGAAATCTTTAACGTTTCGACTCAAAAAAAGATAAACCATCAATTTAATTAAGTCTGAGTATTCCATGTAATATTTTGACTTTTTTTTCACAGTTAGAATACCACGTAAGTATTGGCTATGTTAAACATAGAATGTCTTATTTAAAAAAAAAGTTCACTGTACAAAGTCCTAGTTAATACATATTCCATATCAACTTCACAAATAATTCTTGATGGTCTTCGAGCATAGATTCTAGGTACTAACGAAGTTGTTTGTCATCTTAATAACTTGTTAATGTTTACCCTGTTTTATCCTTGTATATATTTATCCTTAGCTTTCTTTGTTTTCTAAAATTGAGAATGGAAATTCTCTTATATACATATGACTATAAGGGATCGGTGCTTACACTTCCCGCGATTAAGCTATGGTCATGCAATTTTGAGTTCCTGTTTTTTTTCATTTTTCCGTGTGTTATTTGTTTATATGCAGTCTTGTGTTTCTTTGTTAAAACAGTCATTTGTTTTTTACAGTGATTAAGATTATATAACAAGTTTGACTGGTGTGCCCCAATTTTTGACCTTTTTTACTTTTTATGTCTGTTTGTTTTGCTCACAAATTGTTGTCAATAACTTGGAATTGTACGCAACTTTCATACAAGTGAGAGGTTTAATTAGCAATTAAACCAGGTTTAATTAACCGTTTTCTACGTAAGGAAACAGCTGTTTCAAGTCAAGGATATGGCATTTGTTTTCCATTCATTTGATGAGCTTGATCTTTTGATTTTGCCATTTGCCACATGGTGTAGTCAGTTTATTTTCGATCTATAAGTTTGACTTTCCCTCTGGTATCTTTCGCCCCTCTTTGACAAGGGACTTTCTGATTTGAATTTTCCTTGAAGTTCGCCAATTTTGTTAGTTTATTTTTTGTAATGTATAATTTTGTTTGTTATTCTCTTAATTATGACTTTGAACTTTGACTTTTTAACTAATTTCCATTAATATGACTTTTTTCAAAAACTTAATAAAAATTAGTTTCAAAACGATTCCTTAGTTTAAAATTTAAAAAAATATGTTATTATTTTAATGTGGCACGCGCTCTTCTTTGTGTAATGTCTAATCACCTTGTTAATTGATCCAATAAACCTTTAAGAAATAACTTCAAACTAAAAAAAAATAATTCTTGTGTTTTCGTAATTAGAAGAGATAAAGAGGTATTGATCTTAAAGTCATATGAAACCTCAAATTAAAAAAAATATGCATATGTTTTTTATAACAAAATGGATAGTTGTCATTATTAAACTTATGTACAAGTGTTATACAAGTGCTCAATATCCATGCTTCTTTGTTGATTGATTTGTTTGACAAACAACATCAGATAATAAAATATCTTGTGGAAAAACTACATTTGACGGTACGTTTATTTTTTATTCATAACACTATCCCATCATGGGCTTGGTCCAGTTAAAGGAGCTTAGTGCACAAAGGCGGCCTAGGTGGTGTTTAGAAGCTCTCGTTAATTCAGTCTCCTAATTTAAAGGCTCCAAGGCAGCACATTCGTAGAAATACCGCAAAGGACCTCCTTCGTACACTAAGAAGAAAAATGTGCACTAAGGACCTGATGGAATGATACAACTTTCACAAAGGTCATGGCATATAGAAATAGACTTTGTAAAAATACATTATTTTAAATTTTATGATCATATCTTTTGTGAGGGGGGGGGGGGGGGGGGGGGAGGGGGGGTCGGAGGGGTCCTGATCCCGAAATCCCGGGCTTAAAAACATGAAATCCCGAAGTCCCGAATTTAAAAAAAGTTAAATCCCGACATCCCGAAATTCGAAAAACCTTGACCGTTTAGAATCCACTTTGTATACTGATTAAACATGTAAAATTGAAGATGAGAAACATATTATATTAGACTGTCCTTTATATGCAGATTTACGTGAAAGTTTATTTTATGAAGTTAAAAGAAGTAATGGTGATTTTAATATTTTATCTGATGATGATAAGTTTATACATCTTTTTAAAAGTACTGTTTTTTGGTGTGGTTGACAAGACCTGCTGTAATATTCTAAGTAGAAGAAATTGTTTTTTTTATATGCTTGATAGATAGTGATGTTTTTGCAGACCTGAAATATCTTATAAACATGATAAATGCAGTTATATGGTGCTTTTTGTATTTCTGTCTGTTATATTTTTTACTTCTATGTAATATCGTATTTTCTACTCTTATTTTTAGCTCATCTTGCGTCCGTCGTCGTTAGCTTTTACAAAAAATCTTCTCCTCTGAAATCACTGGGCCAAATTTTAGTTATAGAACGGTAATTTTGTTCAACCGAAATACTTTTAATGGGTACACATACTAGATTTACTAAGGATAAGATTATAAGAGTTTTATTTAGGAGCAAGAATATATGGTTTACATTATTTTTTTAAATGCATCAGTGTTATATTAATAACATAATTAAATTTTATAATTATAAAAAATACACATATGGCGGAGAATGACAATAAAAACACAATGACATCCGTAATAAAGGTAACTTTCATAGAAAACAATTTAATATGATTATTCTCTTTTTGAAAATAATATTGATCTCTTGAAGTCTTTCTATATCACTTCTATAATCGGGTTTTGAAGAATATGTTTTACTCTCAAATGTCTTTCAAGGTATAATGATAGTATGTAAACTATAGAGTTGTAAATGTGGAAATGAAATCTCAGAAGCATTTTTTTTCTCAATTTTTATCTCAAAACAGGTTTCTTTAAAAAAAAAAAAAAAAAAGTTTACTAAAGCAATGTCCTTCAAAACAAAATAAAACAAAGGCAAAGTAAACATAAAATTCAGTTTTTAATTTTTCTTTCATCATCTTCAAATTATAACATCCTAAACCGTTAGGTTTATTCAACAAGTATCATTAATTAATCAATTAGTAACGATCAAAAGACGATTGTTATTTGGATATGGTTGATTGAACTTAATGATTGGGAATTTGCAATAAGCCGTTGGTCACGTACCGAGTGGCACGCGCTGATTAAAAAGTCATTTTACTTCAAAATTACAATATCTATTGATACCAAACTTTATATTTATGAGTTATATACTTAATATATCCATGTTCTTTGTGATCTTAAAACATCGTTTTTGTGTCCTTAGTGCACTAAGAAGTCCTTTGCGGTATTTCTACACACCGTTTCATTTTAAAGATACTATATAATATGTTTTCGCATTGTTTGCACATTGAACACAAACAAATCTAAAAAAATAAGGAGATGTGGTATAATCTCTCGCCAAGAGACCAAATAACACAGAAATTAACAACTAAGCGTTTTTTTTGCCTTTTTACTACATCTGACGGTGACTTTTAGCTTTAGGGCACTGAATTTAGTGACCAGAGAGATGATATATAACCTTCTGTAGAAAAATCATTTGAAAGGTAAATATTATTAGGGTCATCCGGAAAGCTGATGAAAATACTTTAGATACACAATGTATTTCTTTTTAATTTATGCAATTCAATTTTGATACTACAAGTTTTTAAATCAGTAATATCTTACGATTCAAATTAGCGTTAGGCAAACTATAAGCAATGTGTCAGTATTTCAATTAGTTATAAGTCCTAATGAGTGACATTGGCCTGAACTGAGCTGTGATACTTCTTACTTAGTTTGATTTTTAGATGATCTGTTATAATACTTAAAGTGTTTTTGACATTTGAAATAATAATAATTCGAACTTAACTATTCATTTTCTTACTAGCGTCAACAACTGGTAATTGCCAAATTTGTTGGTAATTCGTATACTAGTAAAATTAGAAGATACGGGGATGTCGTGTGACTCGTGTCTGTGGATTGGATATTAGGAAGTGATAATGAAATGATATCTTCCTGGGCCTATACCATGTTATATACACGTGATTTGCGTTATCGTTATATCCGAGACAGTCCATGAAAAAAGGTACAAAAAGTCTCGTTGAACTTTACAGATTACGATATCAAAGTTCGATAAAATATTTTCAAATAAACAGCTGCGCCATGAGCGCATGATACGCCCGTCGTCTTGTGTGTGAATTGTTATTCAATAATCGTAAATAGTTTCTGACATACGGCCTGACATGCGAAAACCCCCTTTTTTACAAAAAACACAATATCTCAAAAATAAACTTTTGAATCAAAACCAAAAAGTATACAGATCTTTAGATTAATATAACTAAGAAGTATGTAAAATTTTAAGCAATAATCATAAATCGTTTTTGAGATACAGCGCGACATGTGGAAAAACCCCTCCCCCTTTTTTAACAAAATACTCAATATCTCTAAAATAAAATTTTGAATTATCACCAAAAAGTATACAGATCTTAAG